TGTGTGTGTGTGTGTGTGTGTGTGTGTGTGTGTGTGTGTGTGTGTGTAAAACAATAGTTATAGATGTCAGTCATGAACTTGATAGGCAGTGGGGGTGGGACATGGGAGGAATTAGAGGGGGAAGAGAGAGGGGTAGATATAAAATTCTGAAAAACGTTTAAAGTGGGAAGTTATGGATAGCAGTACTCTTGTTACTGCCCAGCTGGGTACCTCTTGTAGTGTATTCAATAAACCTTTCTTTAAAAAAAAAAAAAAAGAAAGGAAGGAAGGAAGGAAGGAAGGAAGGAAAGGAAAGAAAGAAGAGGGATCCCATCAGGGACACAGCTTGACCCAAACTAAAGAGACCATGAGCATAATCCCAACTTTACTTTCTGTGAAGATCCCACGAACCTCTCCCCAACATGGCCAGCAGCATATTTAAATGATAATAGCTTGAGAATGAGCCACCATGGTGACCAAGGACTGTGTTTACACAAGACATCAGCAAAACGTGGAGCGTCGGAAAATATTAAACAGGTGGGACAACCCTCACTTAGAATGGTGGAACTGAATTCTAAATCTGCCGGGATTGGAGTATTTCCATACATATAATTTACGAAATCCATTTACGCCTCGTGTGTGCCTTATGTGCACAGCCTGATGGTAGCTCGGTGCAATAACATGAGCTCCCTTTCATCCTAGCTTCCAGGGGCCAGGCATGGAATTTTCCGTATGTGACGGCTCGGCTCGTGTTCTGTGAGTTCAGATTCTGGGCTTCAGGGTTGGGGGTTAGGGATGCTCACCGCATAACACGAATACATTTCTGAAGAGCAAGTCTATTGTGCTTTAGAAACAGGATTTCTGGGTTTATTTCATGTCTCTGTATATGCCTGAATGTGGGTACACCATGTGCATCTCTGGAGGCCAGGAGAGGGTGTCAGATCCCTTAGAACCGGGGTTACAGGCGATTGGGAGTTCCCAGGGGTGGGTGCCAGGAACCAAACTCAGGTCCCTGCAGGAGCTACAGACTATTAACTGTCTCTCCAGGCCCAAGATTGTGCTTCTTAAGAGAAAGAAGTATTTGGTAGTATACATAGACTCTGATACCATTTTTTTAAAATATTTATTTATTTATTAAGTATACAATGTTCTTTCTGTGTGTATGCCCGCAGGCCAGAAGAGGGCACCAGATCCCCTTACAGATGGTTGTGAGCCACCATGTGGTTGCTGGGAATTGAACTCAGGACCTTGGGAAGAGCAGGCAATGCTCTTAACTTCTGAGCCATCTCTCCAGCCCTCTGATACCATTTTTATAACACTCACAAACAAGAGACTTTCTTTCTTTCTTTTTTAGTAGAATGATCAGATTTAATAAAATAGAGGAATATTATAAAAACAGTTTCTTTTTTTTAATTGATTTTTTTTTATTGAGCTCTACATTTTTCTCTGCTCCCCTCCCTGCCTCTCCCCTTCCCTTCAATTCTCTCCCAAGGTCCCCATGCTCCCAGTTTACTCAGGAGATCTTGTCTTTTTCTACTTCCCATGTATATTAGATTCACGTCTGTCTCTTTTAGGATCCTCATTGTTGAAAAGACTTCATTTTCATGGAAATGAAGTCCTTTGGTGATTTCAACGTTGCACACAAGGAAGCCGACTCCAGGTGTAAATTGAGTGTTTGACTCCACCCACAGAGATGTCATGGACAGAGTGTGCACATATCCTGGGCGGAAGCACTTTGAGAGAAGAGAGATTGCTAGAGTTAGCACATCAGCATTCTGCCTCATTGCCATCAGCATGCACCTCATCACGAGCATTTCAAGAGGTTTTGCCAAATACCTGGAGCCCCGCTCTCTCCTCCAGTTCCATCAAAACCATGGAAAAATATAAATCGATAAAGGCCACTGGTGGGTTAACGCAAATCCAACAAAACCCTCAGCATTGCCTTGAAGTTGAGAGCCAGTCTGGGGTCCCAAGCTAGGTTCTCAGAGACAGGAGTGATGGCCAGGGCAGAGGAGCGAGGCAGACACTTGGGAAGCTGAGGTAGGAGGATCCTGAGTTCAAGGCCAATTTGGGGTAGATAATAAAACCTTGCCCCAGCAAGGTGGTGGTGCACACCTTTAATCCCAGCACTTGGGAGGCAGAGACAGGTGGATCTCTAAGTCTGAGGTCAGCTAGCCTGGTCTACAGAGCAGAGGGAGTTCCAGGATCATCAGAGCTGTGACACAGAGAAGCCCTGTCTCAAAAAACCAATAATAATAATAATAGTAGTCATCTTATCTCAAAATAAGACAATTTTTTAAATGAGAGAGGTATTTCCACACTCATGTTCTCAGTGGCAATTTTTACAGCAAACAAGAGGCTGAAGCAATCCAAGGTCTGTTGACAGATCAATGGCCAAATAAAACATGCTATGTGCACATAGTAAAGTATGCCACCTTAAAAGGGAAGAGAATGTTTACACATATTGACACATGGATGGGTCTTGAGGACACTGTGCTGCATGAAATAAGCCAGACACAAACTGACAAACTCTGAAGGATTCTAACTGTCTCGGGTCAGATTCACCACATCAAAACACGAATGGTGCCTTGAAGGGCTTGTGGGTTTGAGGAACCCAAGGCATTTAATAAACAGAGCTTCAGAAGTTCAAGGTCATCCTCGGTTACATAGTAGATCTGAGTCCAGCCTGGGACACATGAGGTCCTGTCTTAGGACAAAACGAGATCTAAAAGACAGAACCTAGTGGCATCCAGCAATGCTAGGGGACAAAGCATGCCAAATGTCTAAGCCCGTGGGTTGGAGGTTGCTCAGTTTCAAAAGATCAAGAGCCAATGGGGAGAAAAGGGAGTTACAAGGAGCAGAACGGACATGGCAACAGCTGTCCTGAGCCTCGTGGACTCGGGTACCTTTGATAGTCTGATGAAAGGTGGACGTTCTGCCAGACGTGAGGATGCATGCTATTAACCCCAACATCTCAGGTCTGAGGCCAGCCTGGGCTACATAATTAGTGCAAAGACAGACAACACGGAAGCCTCTCCCAGAATGCACCTGCTCAAGACAAAAACATGAAAACACAGGCAGGAAGTCATGAGCCCCAGTTAGGGCCTCCCCTAAACAGCTTGGATAA